GAAGCTAAAATCAAAGAATTATAAAGGCGAATTCATTTTGATACGTAAGATCGGTTATCACCACTCCCTAAAGATTCATCACGACCCAATAAGAAACCCACAACCAGCCGCTAATCCTAAGGCGTACACAAAGGAAAGACATGATGAAATCTGTCAGGGCTACCCCCACAGGCATTAGCCAGGATCAATTCAGTCGTCCGGATCACATTCAAGAAGTAAAGACGAAGGAGTAGCCATTGAAACAGGAAAATTACAGATCAGAGCCAGCGAGAATATCTCGGCAATACTACAATTAAAAAACGCCCCCAAGAGTCCGTCTTGGATGGAAGCCAACAAAAAATGACATAAGGCAGGCTAAATATGAGACAGAGCCATAACCACTAAGGGATAGGGTCTGACAGCTAAAAACTGAGAAATAAGAGGGGTTACATATACCCGCTGCCCAAAGGAGTGAGTCAAATGAGGAAGCTAAACAAAACTACACCAAACAAGTTATAAACCGACAAGAAGAAGCAAATTAAGGCCTTAAAGCAAATAAAGGAACCGTACGGGACCAAGCCTAGAGATAGAACAACCGAATGAGCACCGAAACATTAAGCCGAAGAATTATGACAAACACTAATAGGAGGCGAGAACAGAAGAAAAAAAGCCAGCAGAGGGAACCTAGGAAGCAAAGTATGGACAATAAGGCTTCCCACGTGTATAATAAATGGTGACGCGTAAATATTAAGGGAGGAAGAGTACATTCGCAACAGGAGAAAACCAATAAAGGAAAATGAACATAACAACTACAGAATAGATCCTAGAGCTGAACCATGACAAGTAAATAATAGAGGGACAAATCTAAACTGCCAATCAGAATCCTTAAAACATCCCCAATAGGAGGAAGGCCAAGGAGCCTATGAACTCTCACCCCCAACAACAGCTCTGAAAGAATAAAGCCAGACAACAAGTCCCTAAACTCTAACTGCGAAGAACTACAACTTGCTCCATCATCCCTAGACACTAAATGCAGAAACCTCCTCCATAAAGGGTAAAGCATATACCGAGATCACTAGGAAATAGGAACTAATAAGTAAAGCCAGGGCCAAATCAAGCCCCAATACCCCAGCTCACTGATCAATAGACAAACATCATAAGGGACATCCGCCTAAAGAAGACAAATACGAACCGGACACTAACTCAAAAAAATGTCACAACAACCCCCCTCCTAGCCCCTCAATCCGGACGAACTCCCCACTGAGCAACAGCGGATACACCCCGAAGCTGCAAATCAAGACGAATGACCAATAACGAGCAAGGAATAATCAATAGAAAACCAAAACAGCCCCTTAACACAAAGTCTATGAAATCTGGATCCCTCACAGCACCACTCTAACCCCTGGACACGGACCCGTACATGTAGTCCCTAGATCTAGATGCTTGAACTCCCAAAGATAAAGATTAACCCCCAGAAAGCAAAAAACTGACCCACCCTTCCGGGGTGAGATCCAACGAAGTAAACTTTAGCCAAGAAAACAAATAGGACGAATCAGTCAGTTCCGAACCCCAACTCCTAAGCCTAGGACGAGACAATCCCACCCAAAAAAGCAACAAGAACGAGCAAGAACGAGCTGAGATGAACATTAACAACTCATCCATGAACATAAGGCCCAAAATCGTCAAAAATAAAAGATGAACAAAACGGCAACGAATATGGAACAGCCAAAAGATCCACAACACCGGGGCCATCCCCCCTAGCAAATAACCCCTCGAATGTGAATCTTACAGCATGAATCCACAGGCACTAGAACCTCCTCCGTAATCGGTGGAACGTCAAAGATCCCCCAGGGACCGTGCAACATACGCCCTAACAACTGAGGACCTGAACAATCATCAACCCCCGCAGCCAACTAGATTCAAAATACTAAAAAATGCCCCATGGAGCCTGAACCCTAAACTTGAATCCTAAGCCGTCAGATCTAGGAACTGAACCATAAAACTAAACACTAAACCCTGAACCTAAGCACTGAAGCGTGACCTCTCAAATCCCAACCTAACCCCTAGAACATGATTCATGACTCCTGGACCGTAACCCTAATCCCACCCCCCCTAAACCCAAAAGGCACGACCTAATCACTAACGACTGAGCACAAAGCAATAGGACATGACAACTGGATCCTGACACCTAACAAA